CAACCCAAGTAGCTGGGTCACCCCGGCTGCCTCCCAGGCACAGAAGTTGGATCAGAAGCCGAGGCGGGATGGATCTGAGGCATTAGGATAAAGCATGCAGGCATCCCAAGGGGCAGCATAACCCACTGTACCACAATGCCTGCACCTGGCCCAGTGTAGAGGTATTCAGGTATAATTCTAAGTAACTGAAGTCATTCAAATTAAACTTTCAGTGCTTATGTTTTTCTTCTAATTTGGTCAACCTGTTTAAATTTTAATTCTGTGAAGGTCATTTTAGTCTCACATCCTATATTAACTACATAATTTAATAGTTATTCTCTGCTAAATAAATTCTTCCATAATACTTTAATTTTGTTTCCTTAACTAGATAACTAGTGTGTGTGTGTGTGTTTAAAAGATTTAACTATTTATTTCACAAGTCAGAGTCATAAAGAGAGGGAAAGATAAAGACTTCCATCCACTGGTTCATTCTGCAGATGGCCATAACGGCCAGAGGAGGGCGGGATAAAGCCAGGAGGAGCGAGCAGCTTTTCCCAGATTTACACACGTGTAGGGTGTCCAAGCATTTGGTCAATCTACCACTGCTTTTCCCAGTGCTGGAGTGAAGCAGAAAAACCAGAATACTATTTGGTGCCCATGTGGGATGTGACTGTCACAGACAGCACTTTCACCCGCTATGCCACAATTTTCTGGCCTTGCTATTGTGTTTCTCAAGTGTTATTTATGATTGAATTACAATCTAGAAGTAGGGCTTGTGTCTTCTGTGAGCTTTGGACATAAAATTAAAAAATGAAGCTTTGCAAGGTATCAAATATATAGTTGCCAAATACAATTATTTCAAAAATTAAACATGAAACTTTAGCTCAACGAACTAATTTTCAAATACAGTTGCTATTTCTGAGTCATCCTCTTACTATAAAATGTATACATTTTTGGGCCTGGCATGATGGCTTAATCACTAAATCTGCAGGCACTGGGATCCCTTGCGGGTGCTGGCTTATGTCCAAGCTGTTCCACTTCCCACTCACATTCAGCTCCTTGCTTATGGCCTGGGAAAGCAGTAGAGGATGTGCCAAAGCCTTGGGATCCTGCACCCACATGGGAGATCCAGAAGTTCCTGGTTTCTGGATTCAGATCAGGCTGGGTCAGCTCTGGCCGTTGTGGCCATTTAGGAAGTGGGCCAGTGGACAGAAGATCCTTCTGTTTCTACTTCTCTCTGTAAATCTGATGTCATTCTAATAAAAATTAATTTTTAAAAAGGCATGTATTTTTAAATCTTACAGGTTATAAAAGTCATTCTAGAATCCCATTTTAACTATTATCACTGAAAGCCTAACATTTTGTAGTTTATCTTTACTTGTTTCCTTTGTTTTTTTTAAACTTATGCTCTTATTTGAAAGGAAGTGTAACAGAGGGGGGGAAAGTCACAGACTTTTTATCCACTGGTTCTTTTCCCAAATTGCTGCAACAGCCAGGTCTGGGCAAGAATGAAGCCTGGAGCCAGGAACTCTTACCAGATCTCCCCCATGCTGGCAGAGCCCAATTACCTGGGTTGTCTTCTGTTGCCACCTTAGGTGCATTAGAATGTAGCTGGATCAGAATCAGAGCGGCAGGATATAAACCAGCAAACCAAAAGGGATGCTGGTGTCACAAATGGTAGTTTATCCTGCTTTTTCACAATGCTGGCCCCTCTTTGCTCACTTTTCAACAATAATGCTTTGGTTCCTACATTTTGGTATTACTCATTTCTTGTAACTTAATACATCTTGAGATATATAGCATTATATATACCTACTGCTATATCCATACATGTATGTCTTATTGGCTGTAAAGTAGTCAAGTTTGGCAAAAGATGGCATTAATTGATTTAAAAAATTTATGTGTCAGGCACTATTCTGAGCATTTTGTACAATGAACTCACTTAGTGTTCACAGTACCTTGATGAGATGGGCACTGCCACACTCTCTGGTTTGGATATTAGCAAACCAAGCCTCAGTTCCTCAGCTCGGAGTATCAGGGCAAGGGTTGCATCCCAGGCAGCCCAGCAACTCCACACTGTGCCACCTGCACTCTTCAGCCCTGAGCACAGGGCCTCCTGGAAGCTATGGCGCCCTCAGAAGGGAAGGCTGTTCCTCTGCCTCCGCTGCAAAATGCTCTTGTCTTTCACCGATGTAGATCTCTGGGCATTGTCTTACCAAATCATTTATAAATTTAGTAGAAAGTGAATTTCTAGGTAAAAGGACAAGCATGGTTTGAGGAGCTTGATATATATCATCAAATGGCTCTTAAGATACAGACTGCTCCAATTTATTAACAGAAAATTAAAATGTTCATTTTACTTCACTTTAGTATGCTTGCTTCAACACTGGACATATCATTCTTTCATATCTTTACTAAATTTAATCATCAAAAAGATAAAATATATTATTTTAGTTTTCATTTCTTTGGTTACTAGTGTGAAATATGTGATGGCATTCCCATGTTTAATGATTATTTTAATTTCTTCTTTTGTAAATCATCTATGACTTTTGTTGTTCCCTTGTATTTAAGTGTTTATCTTTTTCATGAATGTTTTATTCATTATGATTATTAACCTCATGCATAGAAGCCATAGTAGTTCAATGAAGGTAATATTTTTCACCCCCTTCCACCCATGCAATCAATTTATTTAAGATACAGAATTACTAATATGTAAATTTCTCAAGCATGGTTACAAATGTTAAAACTTTATAGATGCCAACAATGTAACCAATTTTTCTACTTTATTCTGTAAAAGTTGATTTTACCACAGGTAGTACTTCTTTCAAAGCCCCCTATATGCAGAGTTCAATAACTTCAATTGTGTGGCATGAGCAACGCAGTTAACAGGAGGTTAATACATACAAATGGAGTGTTGGAGAAGTGTCAATGATCAACTTCCTAATATCTGCACTCACACAGTGGTGGGGGCATGTCACTGTGGAGTTGAGTTGTTTTCGGGTATTCTTAAAGAGCTTAACCAAATGTAACAAGTCCTTCTGGTTGTTGTGAGTAGACTTTGCAAAACACACTCCAGAGGCCCACTGCTTACTAAAGTCCAGAACCTGCCCTTCCCTACCCCTCCTTTTGGAAGCAGGATCAGAATAACAGCAGGCTGAGGAACAAAGGAAGCTACTTCCCTTGTCTGTCACACTAGCTCTTCAGCTGGGCAGAAACATCAAGGTTGCAGTGAAGGAAAAGATGACAAGAGTAAAACTTTGCAGAAAACAGAACGAACTTTTCAGGTATAACATAGCTCTGTGACTAACACCAGCTGGACAGAGGTAAGGCAGGGGGACAGTAGGTGTTGTCAGGGGATGTTCTTTTGGCAGAGATCGAGAGACCAAAGGATACACAAATATTGCTTCACCAGTAAGCAAATAGCTTCCCTTTTACTTAAAAGGCTGTTTCTTAACTTACTTTACTGGAATAAAGATCCTTAAAGAAATCCATCATTATATTCTAGTTGTACTTTTTCCAAAAATTCTGATCTCTGCTCTAAATTCCATGAAACACAAGCTGTCAAACTTATTAATAAAAAACTTAAAAATGAACACTGGACCAATTCCTGAGCCCCTCTATGAGAACTGGCCTCCTCAGCCCTGTGGCCTGAGTCTGGTCACGGGAGAGAGGAGGTTGCATGCACTGAGACCCTCAGTTTGGATGCGGTGGCAGTGACAGCCATGATGCATCAGACACTGGTGGGCTGACAGCAAGGGGTTTCATGCCCTGGACAACTGCCTCTGCACAGCAACTCTACATGCAAGAGCATAAGCAGTTTCATAAAAAATGGAATTAGAAGTACAGTTTGTTTTGGTGCAAAAAGTTTTTTGAAACCTATGCAGTTTTTCGTAACATATATTATATTTTCCATATGTTCATAAAACATTTTTTGGACAAAATTAACCTTTCAAAATTTTTTCAAGTATTTTCACATGTCTATATATTAGTGTTTCATTTAAGATCTCTTGAAACAAACAAGCAAACAAACAAAACTCCACAGCCTAAAAATATAAATCCTGGGGCCTAGTGCCATGGTGTAGTAGGCTGGGTTTCTGTCTTTGTTATCCGCATCCCATTTGGAGCCAGTTCATGACGCAGCTGCTCCATTTCCAATCCAGCTCCCTGCTTACAGTCTGGGAAAGCAGCAAACAGCCCAAGTGTTGGAGCCCCTGCACCTGCATGGGAGACCTGGAGGAGGCTCCTGGCTTCAGATCAGCTCAGCTCTAGCTGTTGGGGCCATTAAAAAATAATAATAATCTTGAGTTATACTGTTATAACTTTCAAGTAAAAATCAGGTTTAATATATTTAATGCTTCCTTTTTTACTCAATTTGTTTTTGTCAATTAAAAAGCTGATAACTGAGGCCTTCTGACCAGCTTTTTCTTTCTTTCTTTCTTTCTTTCTTTATTTTTACTGGAAGGACAGATTTACAGAGAGAAAGATTTTCCATCCACTCCCCAACTGGCTGCAACAGCCAGAGCTGAGCCAATTTTAAGCCAGGAGTTCTTCTGAGTCTCCCACACAGTACAGGGTCCCAGTGCTTTGGGCCATCCTTTACTGCTTTCCCAGGCTACAGGTAGGGAGCTGGAAGAGAAGTGGAGCGGCCGGGACACGAACCAGCACCCACATGGGGTCATGGCTCATGCAAAGTAAGGATTTAGCCACTAGGCTATCGCACCAGGCCCGTCCAACCTATTTTTATAGTCTAGGGATCTCCAGCCTAATTCACTGAGATATGAGTATGATAAATAACCATTTATTTCTCCTAATTTTAGGTTACTAGTCTGATAATCTGTCTTTAATGAATCTTTTAAAAAGTCCATAGGAATTCTGGCCAAAAATTTCAAACTTAAAATCCAAATTAAAATAAAATAACATAATATCCAGAAAGATTAAGGAAACAAATATGATATAGTCTTACCTTATTTGTCCTGGATATAAATTCCAATACAAATAAAGCATGTCAGGTGCTTGCTTACCTGAGCCATCAGTAGGAACTGAACTTGCATTGATTCCAGAAAGTCCAAACAAAGGACACTCTCGGTCTGTGTTGACATGACCCCATTTGTGACATTTAATGCATCTCACATTTCGAACCTGAGAAACAGTGAATATAATATTTATTACTAAGACAAAATAAGCTGGTCAATATTCAACATCTTATATCTTGGCAAAGTTTAAATGAAAAGATTCACATTTTAAAAGATCCAGGGACAGATATTTGGCAAACATTTAAGACGCCATCTGGGATGCTCACATCCCATCGTGGAAGTGGCTCCAGTTTCCAATTCCACCTTCCTGCTAATGCTCACCCTGGGAGACAGTAGGTGATGGCTCAAGTAGTTAAGTCACTGCCAACCACAAGGGAGATTTAGATGGAGCTTCTGGATCCTGGCTTCAGATTGCTTCTGCTTTAAGTCACTGTGAGCATCCAGGGAGTGAACTAGCAGTCAGAAATACTTTCTCTGCCTCTCAAATAAGTAACTACAAACAAAAACAGAAACAGGGAGCCAGTGCTATAGCACTATTAGTGGGTGTGGTGCCAGCATCCCATATGGGTGGCATTTGGAGGCCCAGCTACTCCACTTTCAGTACAACTCCCTGTTAATGTGCCTGGGATAGAAGATGGCCAAGTGCTTGAATCCCTACATGGGGAGGAGACTCGGAACAAGCTCTTCACTCTAGTTTTGGCCATCTAGTTTGGGTCATCTAGTCTGTCCCAACTCTGGCCACTGCCGTCATTTGGGGAGTGAGCCAGTAGATCAAGATCTCTCCTGCCTTTCCCTCTGTAACTCAAGTCTTTCAAATAAATAAATAAATCTTCAAAAGAAGAAGAAGAAGAAGAAAAAAGAACTCCAAAGAGACTTTAGAACTATGTTTGGTAATTTAATGCAAACACTAAAATCTTTTGCTATAATCTCTTATCAAAAACTATGCTGAATCCAATTTCTTTTTGCCTCTTGTTTGGTGGCAATACAACAAAGAAATGGCAAAATAAATAAATAAATAAGAATTAATCACAGTTTAGTTTTAATGTGCCGACTTTTCAACATTTTCAACCCATAAAATTCATTTTATTTACTTATTTGAAAGACAGAGACAGAATGCTCCCATTCATTCTTTCACTCCAAAATGCCTGCAACATTAAGGGCTGGGCAGGGCCCAAACCGAGGAGACATGAATGCAATCCAGGTCCCCCTCACGGGTGGAAAGAAGTCAGTGAATCGAGCCATCTCTTCTACCTCCATGGTCTGCACTGGCAGAGTTAAGTTAGAGCTGGGAATCAAATCCAGGCACTCTAATGGGGGCTTTTCATTTTTTTAAAGGTTTATTTATTTTTATTGGAAAGGCGATATACAGAGAGGAGGAGAGACAGAGAGGAAGATCTTCCATCCAATGATTCACTCCCCAACTGGCCGCAACGGCTGGAGCTGAGCCAATCCAAAGCCAGGAGCCAGGAGCTCTTCCAGGTCTCCCAAGCGGGTGCAGGGTCCCAAAGCTTTGGGCCATCCTTGACTGCTTTCCAGGCCACAAGCAGGGAGCTGGATGGGAAGTGGAGCCGCCAGGATCAGAACCAGGGCCCATACTGGATCCCAGAGCGTGCAACACGAGGACTTTAACCACTATGCTATTATGTCAGGTCCCATTCTTTCTTTTTTCCTTTCATTCGTTTTAATTTGAAATGCAGATTTAGAGAGAGAGATTTTTAATCTGCTGGTTCACTCCCCAGATGGCTGTAACAGGTAGAGCTGAAGTCCAAAGCCAGGTCCCTGGAGCTTCTACCAGATCTCCCATGTGGGTGCAGGGGTCTGAGCACTTGGTCCATCTTTTGCTGTATTTTCAGGCAAATTAGCAGGGAGGTATATTGGAAATAGAGTAGCCATTTCTCAAGCCAGTGCCATTAAGGGCTGTCAGCACCAGAGGGGAAGCCCCAGAACACAGGTATATTATATGTTAGGTTAAATGGCTGCTTGCTAAGCTTTCAAATTTCTTTTATTTATTTATTTGAATGTCAGACAGCTCTTCCATTTACTGCTTTACTCCCCCAAATCATACAATATCCAGGACTTGTCCATGCCAAACCCAGGAGCCTGGACTTCAATTTAGGCTCCCTGTATGGGAAACCCAATACTTCTGCCCTCCAGATCTGTGTTAAAAGCAAACTGTGCTAGAAATGGAGGTGGGACTTGAACTCACATACTCTGATGGCCCTGGATGCAAACACCCCAGCAATGTTTTGTTTTCCTTTTGCTGCTTATTTGTTTGAAAGTTAGTATTACAAAAAGAGAGAGGGACTAGGCTAGCGTTGTGGTACGGCAGACTAAGCCTCTCCATGTGACAATGGCATCCCATATGAATACAGGTTCAAGTCTTGGCTGCTATATTTCTTATTCAGCCTCCTATTAATGCATCTAGGAAAGCAGCAGAAAACGGCCCAAGTGCTTAGGTCCCTGCAGCCTCGTGGAAAACCCAGAAGTTCCAGAGTCCTGGCTTCAGCCTGGCACAGCTCTGGCTGTTACCATCTGGGTGAGTGAATGAGCAAAGAGTCTCTCTTTCTGTCTCTTGCCCTCTGTAGCAATGCCTTTTGAATAAGTAAAAAGTAAAAATCTAAACATAAGGCAAAAAACACACAAAATTTGAAAAAACACAGAGAGGTAGACAGAGAATGCCAACTTCTTCATCTTTTGGTTCACTCTGCAAATGGCTGCAGAGGCCAAGTCTGGTCCAGGTCAAAGCCAGAATCCAAAACCTTCAGGTCTCCCACATCATTCCCAACCACATTAGTAAAGAGCTAGAGCAGAGGGGCACAGTTGATGTGATGCTGACGTCCCAAACACAACAGCTTTGTCAGGCCAAGAACCTGCACCCACCCATGATTCAAATTTTTGACCCAGAGTTGGCCAAGTTTTTCTCTATATAGGTTTAGACAGTGAACAGCTTAGGCTTTTCAGAATAGGTGCTTGTCTCTGTTGCAGCTGCTCTACTCCACTATTTTAGTAGGAAAATAGACACAGACAAAATGTAAATGATCACATAAGGTAAAATTCCAATACAATTTTTTTGTTTGTTTTTAAATATTTATTTATTTTTACTGGAAAGGTGGATATACAGAGAGGAGGAGAGACAGAGAGGAAGATCTTCCATCTGATGGTTCACTCCCCAAGTGGCTGCAATGGCTAGAGCTAAGCCAATCAAAAGCCAAAAGCCAGGAGCTCTTCCAGGTCTCCCAACGTGAGTGCAGGGTCCCAAAGCTTTGGGCCGTCCTTGACTGCTTTCCCAGGCCACAGGCAGGGAGCTGGATGGGAAGTGGAGCTGTGGGGATTAGAACCGACACCCATATAGGATCCCGGGAGTGCAAGGCAAGGACCTTAACCACTACACTATCATGCCGGGCCCATCCAATACAAATTTATTTTGTAAGAATTTGGTCTTCTGGTGAATACATTCTAGTTCTTAACAAATAATAGCTTTAGAATCTGTTCTTAACCTTAAGTGGTTTCCCCAAATTTTTTGAAAACTCGGAGACTGGGCCTGTAGTTGCTTCTAATACCAGCATCCTATGTCAGGGTGCAGCTTGGAGTCCCAGCTGCTCAGCCTGCAATTCAGCTTCCTGCTAACACACCTGGGAAAGCAGTGAATGATGGTCCTAGGGCTTGAGCCCCTGCCACACATGGAGGACCCTGGCTCCCGGCCTCAGTCTAACCCAACTCTGGGTGCTGTGGTCCTTTGGAAAAGTGGACAAGTGGATTCAAGATCTCACTCTTTGCTCTCTCTCTCTGCTTCTGTTATTTTTTTCAAATAAATACATAAATCTTAAAAAGAAACTACAGATACCAATATTATTATAAACCTCACTGCAAAAGTTTGATACTATCTTGTATTAGTCCTACTAAACTTAATATTTTCTCCCTATTTCTCATATTACCTGGTATAAGCCACAGAGTCCTTTTTCACCTTAAATTCCTTTTGGACAACACTATTATTTATGAAATACAAATTATTCCTAAAAATTATGTGTCACATTGGGTGGCAGTTCCCCATCGCATGTGTAATGCCGTGGCTGGGAAGCTGGGCAGGGTTTCTCCTCCTGTATTCCCTTGTCCCCCACATACAGGAAGAAGAAAAAGAAAATGTGTAAACAATGGTCTCGCCCACTATCCCCTAATCTTGTACCTTTCCAACTCCGATCAACTATGCAAATATCATAAAAAAGAGGACCCAGTGTCATAGCCTAGTGGCTAAATCCTTGCCTTGCATGTGCTGGGATCCCATAGGGCCGCCGGTTCAATATACTTGCAGCCCTGCTTCCCATCCAGCTCCCTGCCTGTGGCCGGGGAAAGCAGTGGAGGATGGCCCAAAGCCTTGAGACCCTGCACTCACATTGGGAGACCTGGAAAAAGCTCCTGGCTTCAGATTGGCTCAGCTCCTCTCTGTATGTCTGATTTTCCAATTAAAAAAATCTTTAAAACAAAAAACAAAACAAAACAAAAAAGAGAAAAGAAAAAATTATGTGTCACTTGCCTGAATACCAAATGGCTGATCTCTGATGTTCATGTCATCTTTGGCGTATCTATAAAGTACAGAAAGTGTACAAGCAAAATATTAGAAATAACAATAAATTAAACAGGAGTTAATCTGGAAAACTTTACAGTTTTAAGAATACTAAAAAAGTATTATTGCTTCCATGAGTATATAAAACTAAAAGATCTACTTAGTATTTCTAAACATTTCTTTGGTCTATCTAGTCCAATAATTTGTGATTTTAAAAAACAAAGTATAAAAAAAAATGTATTTCCTAAATGTACCAGTCCTTACTTTTCTCGGGGGGCTCCTTTCTGCCATTCAAACTTGTACTCTGTCTCTCCTTCTGTTTCTTCTTTCTGGAAATGTTCAGAGAAAATTCTTTCAATTTTTCTATAAAATCACAATCAATTGCAATTAATACAAACAGAAAACAGTGCTTACCTCTTTATTTTCTTGATTGCATATCAAAAGTATAGGGGAAAAAATTAGGAAAAAAAATCAATAAAAATTTATGGAGCCTATTATAACATCATGGTATTTAATCGTGATTTCTGAGAATTTACTGATTAGACTTTTGTTGTTTCGCAAGATAAAATTTCACAGCATGGAAGGATGAACCACAATTCCAAACAAAATATAGTATTTAATAAGCACATTATTTCCAAGTTTTAAACATTTATGCTTTTTACTGATATTTTCAATGTCTAAATATTTTTAGAAAGGACAAGAGAAATATATGCAAATTATTTCAGAAAAATGCACTTCTGATATTTTTTCCTAACCCAAAAGACACATCATAAAATGATATTACTAAACAAAGAAAAAAATTTAGTATTTACTCTGTTGCTGTACTGTTATTTTAAATAATTCTCACAGATTATCTGCTACTTAAAAAAAAATATTCATCATAGCAGCTCTCAATTTATCTTCACTCATACCAAAGCCAAAAGAAAGAAAAAAGAAATAGAAAAGAGGAAATACCTTTTCTAGCTCCAGGTGGGGCCTCATACATGAAATTAAGGCCATTCTTCACACGTTCATCTCCCATAAGCAACCTAAATAGGACACAAAGTTAATCATTTTACACAGAAGGAAAGAATTGTAAGTTACCTATTCCAAAAATAGCCTTAAAGGTATTAAGATAAAATACTTTTATATATATTTACTTATTTGAAAGGCAGAGTCATGGGGAGAAGGAAAGACAGAGATCTTCCATCTGCTGGTTCACTCCCCAGATGGCTGCTCAAGGGCTTAAGCCAGGAAGCTGGGACTCCATCCAGCTCTCCCACATGCACTGCAAGAGTCTAAGCACTTGGACCATCTCTCCCGTCTCTCCCAGGCACATTAGCAAGGAGCTGATATGGAAGTGGAGCAGCCAGGATTTAAACAGTGCTCATATGTGATGCTGGCATTGCATGTAGTGGTTTGAACAGGTGTGCCACAGTGCTAGCCTGAAGGTAAAATACCTTTGTTGGAGATAAAGTTCCAATATTTTATTTTAGTGGCTGAATGACACTTGAAGTTTCTAAATGGAAAACATATAGTGCTGCTTTCTAGGTAACTCTACAAGTTCTGAGATCTTCCCATGTGAGAGATTCTGCCTCATCCAACAGAGAATCAAAAAATGACATGACCATTCTTACAGGGTTTGATTAAATTCTGAAGTACTGTTGAAAGAGGGCTAGCTCTGTAATATTACATGCCATCATAAAATTGAAGTCAAGTTAGAAAGTTAATCCTTCCTAATTACAAAAGATTAAATACTTCTCAAACATTTATTAGAGTAAAAAAATCAATGAGATTAAATTCTTTACTGAGGAAGAATTGTTTTTAGAAATTGTACAACAGGCTAATACAATGGAATCAGTGTCTGTGGCATCTCAGAGATCCTACTTTTAAAATAGTTTTTAAAGATTTATTTTTTTATTATTTTTTCATTGGAAAGGCGGATATACAGAGAGGAGAGACAGAGAGGAAGATCCTCTGTCTGATGATTCACTCCCCAAGCGAGCGCAACGGCCGATGCTATGCCGATCCGAAGCCAGGAGCCTCTTCCGGGTCTCCCATGCGGGTGTAGGAAGGGAAGCAGGGCTGCCGGGATTAGAACCGGCGCCCATATGGGATCCCGGGCGTGCAAGGCGAGGACCTTAACCACTGCACCACCACGCCGGGCCCTAAAATAGTTTTTAAAAATTACTTTATTTTGGAAGTCTAGCGCAACAGTTAGTGGCTAACTCCTCACATTGCATGTACCAGGATCCCACATTGGCGCCAATTCATGTCCCAGCTGTTCCACTTCCCATCCAGCTCCTGCTTATGGTCTGAGAAAACATTCGAGAATGGCCTAAAGCCTTGGGACCCTGCACCCGTGTGGGAGACCTGGAGGAAGTTCCTGGCTCTATGCTTCAGATCAGCTCAGCTCCGGCTGTTGCAGCCACTTGGGGAATGAACCAGCGGTGGGAAGATCTTCCTCTCTGTCTCTCCTTCTCTCTGTAGATCCGAGTTTGCAATAAAATAGGTAAATCTTTAAAAAAACAAAAACAAAAAACACATGAGTTACTATATTCAGTTTTGAACTCTAGATTCATATCCTTTACTAGACTTTCCTCGAGAGCAGAAGCTACATTTTCATACACTCGGAGAGGCCCCTCCAACACTTTTTCCTTGCATGAAACAGTAGGTACAGTTAACCAGGTTACATAAACATTTGCAAGACAAGTATGTAATGGCACTGAGGTTTTCCTTTTCTTTTTTGATTATTTTTTATTTTTATTTTACCCTATTTATTTTAAAGACAAAGAGATAGAGAAAATACAAATCCCCCATGTGCCCCACAGCAGCTTGGAATGTATGAGGCCAGAGCCAGGCAGCAACTCAGTTCGGTCTTCCGCACGGATGACATGGATTCAAGCACCGAGGCTCTCACCTGCTGCCTCCAAACATTTGCGTCAGCAGGAAGCTGGAACTGAAGCAGAGATGTGACTCCAACCCAGCCTCTGACACGGACACGGATATGGGCTTCACAAGCAGCATCTTCACGTACACCCCCAAATCACTTAGCGCTCTTAGGGCACTAGGCTTTAGCAATCGCCTCAAAGTCTTTTATGAAATCCTAATTTCTGTAGAAGCCTGCAAATGCCTGCTTCCTTTGTTCAACTATAGGAAACATACAAGGAGCTGCAATTCCCGAGGAGGCAATGAACACTTCAACAATAATAAATTACAGATGCATGGCCGGCAGCTGCACAGCTGGCATTTCGTCTAAGCACTGGACACTCTTATCTTCATCAACATCCAACCACACAGATGAGTTCTGGTTCCTTCATTTTTCTCTCAATGTACAATTTAAAAGACAGTAATATTTTGGTATGACTTGGTACAGATTTCTTATTTTGATCAAAAACAATGACTGAGTGGAAATTTTATTGTCTGTTCTATAGTTTCAAATGAAACTTCTTCAACTCTGTATAACCTATATAACTACACCACTAGTACTCATTTGAGTGGTTAGCCAAGAGAAATGAGTTTCAGTGTTAAGACTGGTAAATACAAAATGACAATAGTTAAAAGGCAGGTACCATGCCAAAAGAAACAATGAAGAATTTTAGCTATGAGCATACTATTAACAGAACAAGTATGTGCAGGTAGAATAAAGACACTTTCGAAGTGTCCCATGCTTCTTCAAGTGCATATTAAAATCTCTTTGTAAGATGTTTCAGCACAGCAAGTTAAGCCACTATATGGGACGCCCATATCCCACACTGGAATGCCTGGGATGGAATTTGACCTCGGTTTCCAATACAATTTCTTGCTAGTGTACCCAGTGAAGCAACAGATGATAGATGGCAGGAGAAGTTGGGTTCCTGCCACCCCCACACGAGACCCTGATGGTGTTCTTCGGAGCTGACTTGAGTTGGGCTCACCACTGACTTGGACCATCTGGGTAGTGAACCAGCAGATGGGAGATCTCTCACACTCTCCCCCGTTGTCACTTTGCATCTCAAATAAGTAAAACTTAAAAGCAAACAAACAAAAAAACAGGTTTCAGCAGTTTAAGTATAGATGTTTATTGTTCCTCTAAGTTTTGCTTTCATATGAGACCTGCTCACAGACTCTAATGAGTTACACAAATTATTATTTTATGTGAATTATGGGTAAAGTTATTTTACGTGAATTATGGATAAAGTCAGAAAAAATGGCCCTTTACAGATGTGACAGTAAAGACAAGCATTCACAGAAAAAGAACAGGCTCCTGGTATTGGTGAAGTCAACTCCAAAAAGCTAAATTAATAGACAATTCAGTAAGTGATTCATTCACTATTCATTATTTTAAAAACACTAGTAATAGGAATTTCTTACCTATTATCATACGATTCTTGTTCTTTAAGATACTGCTGCATCAACTCTTCTTGTTTCTTCTTGTCATATGATATTTTCTGTTCTGCCATCCATACCTAAATTAGTGAGGTTAAAACATGTAAATTACATAGCTGAACTCAAACACTTAAGGACGTTCTAAGTATAAGACACTACCATTTATGTTTATAACATAGTCCAATTTGGTCATAATGGCATCATCACAAGATAATAAGTGAAAAGTCTGTTTTCTGTATAATGGCATTCAAACAGTTAAACTGTCAGGCAAAAAAGTCAAACTTAAGGCCAATTCCATGGCATAACAGGTTAAACCTTCACCAGTATGAGCTATGGGCACAGGGTCGAGTCCCAGCTGCTCTGTTTCCCATCCAGCTCCTTGCTAATGGTCTGGAAAAGGAGGGAAGACTTGCCGAAGGCTTTAGGGCCCTGAACCCACAGGGGAGACCCAGAAGCAGCTTCTGGATCCTGGCTTTGGATTGGTTCACCTCCAGCAGTTGCTACCAACTGAGGAGTGAATCAGCAGACAGATCTCTCTCTCTCTCTTTCTGTAACTGCCAATAAAAAATGTCAGACTTGGACCCGGCATGGTGGCCTAGCAGCTAAAGTCCTCGGCTTGAAAGCGCCAGGATCCCATATGGGTGTCGGTTCTAATCCCAGGGGCCCAATTTCCCAGGTCCCTGCTTGTGGCCTGGGAAAGCAGTTGAGGACAGCCCAAAGCCTTGGGACCCTGCACCCGCGTGGGAGACCTGGAGGAGGTTTCTGGCTCCTGGCTTCAGAATGGTGCAGCACTGGCCGTTGTGGTCACCTGGGGAGTGAATCATTGAATGGAAGAATTTCCTCTCTGTCTCTCCTCCTGTTTATCTGATTTTGCAATAAAAAAAATAAATAAATCTTAAAAAAAGAGAAAAAATGTCAGATTTGAGATCTACTCTGAACTTAGTCCCTGAATAATTTAAGGAAAAAGAACAAATATCTTTCTATATGAATATCTGTAATCTAGGTAAGTCTTCAGCACAGGATACTTTCTTGTATAGCCTTTCAAAGATGCTCCATTGCATACTTAAGCAAGAGAACATACATAACACACTTTTCAAATAAATAAGATGCTCTCTCTATATATGTATGTTAAATGAGACATGTTATACACTACATATATTTACATATATAATTGGCTTTGTTTACTACTATATTTCAATTGAAAATCAGACAGATTTTCCATACACTATTTTACTTCTCAGAAGGCCACAACAGCTCAGGCTAAGAAGCCAGAAGGCAGGAACTTTGGTAGGGCCTCCCATGCGGGTGTAATCACTTGGACCATCCTCTACTGCTTTTCCAGGTCATTATTAGAGAGCTGGATTGGAACTGGAGCAGCCAGGACCAGAATTTGCCATCATATTACACGGAATGCGGGTATTGCTACAGCTTTACTACCAACCCCTAAAGCTATTAAAGCAAAACAAAACAAAAAAGTATTAACCGATTCATTTCAAAAATTATTGTGTACAGGCAACCAACATCTTATTAAGTGCCCAGCATGTCAAATCCTTGAACTACACCACCTCATAAGTTATGGAAATCGATGTGGGTCTTCCTGTTACTAAGTAGCAGATTAAGTATTAAAGATACTTCCACGTCCGACAGAGAGGACAGAGCTAAGGCCGCTGCGCGCTGCCGCTCCGCGGGGAAGCAGCGACGCCAGCACGGGCGATCTTCCCGGGAATCACCATGAACCCCCGCTCCTTCCGAATCTCCGGCAGCTCCAGCAGCGCAGCCCGGAGACCCCGGAGACCCCGGGAGCGGCGAGCCGGCTCCCGCCGCGCGTCTCTCCACTTACTTTTTTGATATTAGATTTGGAGGCAGGGTGAAAGTCTTTCTTGCACATGAAGTTGGCGAAGGACTTCCCCATCTTGGAGCCGGAGCGGGAGGCGGCAGCCCCTAAACACGGGGAGCGACGTAAACAAACGCAGCCGCCGAGCCGGAACCGCGCCTCAGGTCGCAGCCGTAACTTCCGAGGTCAAAGCAGGCAGCTTCCGGCAGCTCGCCCCTCCCTCGCCGCTTCATCCCGTCACTCCAGGGAGCTCGAGGCCAGGTGAGGGGAGGGCGGAGCCGAGCTGAAGTGGGATGGAGACTGGCCGACCTGCAGGGGCTTCCTGCCGGCCCGAGGGGCTCCCGGGCCGGGCTCCGGGGCCCAGCCGCACCGGCAGCGGCTTGGTGGCCGCAGGCTGTGGTGCCCGGTGCCAGCTTCCCTGCCGGGGGCGCCTGAACCTCAAGCCCGGCGCTGTCTGTGACAACTCTTGTACCCTGACCTGCAGGGTTTGGGGGCGGGCTGGGTTTCCACCGCTGTAGGTGACCCCAACCCAAGTCCTCCGCTGTGTGTATGGGGTGGGGAGAGTGACTTAAAGAATGAGGCTTTGGTTCCAATAATAACGGTAACAACTTTTATTGAAATACTTTACGTTCTGTGACTGGGTAAACACGTCACATGTTGTCTGAGTAGATTCTCCTAGCAGCCCCTTAAGAGTAATCTTGTTTCACTAATGAGGCCTGAGAAGGATTAAACGGCCCACACAGCTCACGGAGTGGTTGGACTAAGTTTTGGACCACAGCTAGAGGGAGACCCGGGACATAAGAGGTTGAAATAGGCCATGAAAAGTGCAGAAACAAGGGTGAACTCTAACCTTCTTTGAAGAGAGTTTTTGCTCAAGTCGTTTGTTTTTTGAGTCCAGAGCCTGGTCTCCCATGTGGGTGGCAGCGGTCCAAGCATGCGGGCAGTCTTCTGCATTAGCGGGGAGCTGGGTCGGGCAGCGCAGCCAAGACTAAAAGGCACTCAGATACGGATTAGACTCCCGCATCCCCGCGGGAAACCCTGAGAGAGTTCTGGGCTCCTGGCTTTGGCCTGGCTTAGCCCCAGCCGTTGTGACCATTTGCGGGGAGGGAGCAGCCAGCAAACAGAAGATCTCTTTCTATCTTTCTGCCTTCCAAATAAATAAAACAAATCTTTTTTTAAAAAGGTGAATTTCAGTGATGGGAATATGAAGGTTAATAAAACATGCTTTCAACCCCCAAGGATCTCACTATCCACTAAGGGGACTCACGTTTATGTACACAGAGTAGGATATATCCTTTATTACAGTAGAACTAGGAACAAGGATTCCAGAAATATGGAAATGGTGAAAAGAAATTCAGAGAAGTTTTCAGTTGAAAAAAAATCTTGCAGAATAAACTTGCCCTGTAGACTAGAAGCAGGAAGTTCTCATTGTCATTTTCATGTTAATTCTTATAGAACATGATGAATGTGCAAGCTATAAGACAGTATGTTTTTTAAAATTTTAATGTGCACACTTTATTATCTTTTGCAATGATATTTCTTGATCTTAAAGTAGAACTCTTTGATTTATATATACTTAAATTTTTTTCTCTTTCTATTTAGAAATTCTATATAATTTTTAGTTTAAAAAAATGCAGCCTTGTTCCTGTGACACTTTTGTGGCATTACCTCCAGCAACAGTTGGAAACAGGATTATTTTTGGGAAGAATTCAGATAGACTCTGTGATGAAGTGCAAGAAGTGGTTTATTTTCCTGCTGCAATTCATAGCCTTGGAGAACGTGTAAAGGTAGGTGAAATACACATCCTGTTATCATATCATATAAAGTTGTTTCTGTCAATTTGGCAGTTAGGGATAGATGGACAGAAAGGATTCTGATTGTTGTAAAACAGCAAAGGTAATCCTAAACTGTGAGAATAACAGTTAGGGCATGCAGTTAGCCTAGTGGTTTTAATGCCCATGTCTTTGGTATTTGGCTTGGATTTGATACCCAGCTCTAATTCCTGACTCCAGCTTCCTACTAAAGCAATTCCTAAAAATAGCCATATGGCTCAAGTAACTGGGTTCCTGCTGCTCCCTTGGAAGACATGGCTTGAATTTCTAGCTCCCAGCTTTAGTCCAGCCCCCAGCTGTTGCAGGCCCTTGGGAAGTGAACCAGCAGATGTGTGCTGCCTTTGTTTCTGTTGCTCTGCTGCTCAAATACAAATGAAAGGATTTATTGGGTACCGTAACAGCATATCAACATGCAGTTAAAGAGTTTCATATTGTATTTTATTTGCTAAGTTACATATTTATTTTTTGGATTTTGTTTTTGTGCTGTCTAATATTTTGTGCTATTCTAATATTTAAATGGTAGATGCTATCTGTGTATGGGACCATATTGTTAAACATTATCTGTTTATTTGAAAGGCACAGGTAGAGAAGGTGAGGCAAAGAGAGTGTGAAAGACCTCCCGTCTACTGGTTCATTCCCCAAGTGGCTGTAATGGCCAGGGTTGGGCCAGCGTGAAGTCAGGAACCAGAGCTGCTTCTAGGTCTTGGATGTGGGTGCAGGAACTCTCTCACTTGAGCCATCCTTCACTGCTTTCCCAGGAGCAAACAGCAGGGAGCTGGATCAGAGATAGAACAGCTGGGTCTCAAACTGGTGTCTGAATAGGATGCCAGCATTACAAGTGGTGACTTGACTTACCTGTCATAGTACTGCCATCCCTATCTTTTTTTCTTTTGCTCAGAGTATTCACCTGGGTTAGCATTTCTACTTTATTTCTTCATAAATATAGCCTGTCTTATAATGCAATGATTCTCATTCCTTTTCCTACTGTCAGCCTACTTGGTGGGTGACTCTCACTTCTTCGTGGCCCTTTTACTTTATATTGTGGTTTATCTTAATTAATATAGAAGTCTTCGTTTCTTGAAAGCAAGATTTATATTGATTTGTCTTTACAACTGATTCTCAATAGAGTGCTTTTTATTTGAGTTAATCCACAGTATCTTTTAGGGGTAGTTTCTTTATAACTTGAGGTTTTCAAATTGGTTATCCAAATATTTCATTTTGCCTCTTTGATAATGGTCATGACTTCTGGTTAATTTTAAAACTTTGGACTTTGACAACTTTCTATTGTTGAGCCTATGTTTTTTTTTCTGTGACTTTTTTTTAAACAGTGTACTTACATAGAGATTGATCAAGCCCCTGCAACGTATGCTGTGGTACTTAGTCGCCCAGCTTGGTTATGGGGGGCGGAAATGGGAGCCAATGAGCATGGAGTTTGCATTGGGAACGAAGCTGTGTGGGGAAGAGAACCAGTTTGTGATGAAGAAGCACTCCTGGGCATGGACCTCGTGAGGTTATTTTTCTGTTACATTTTTACACCATGGAATATGTCTCAATTTAAATATTAATGTAACGCCAGTTTTATTTTCCCAATTTTGGATTTTGATACTTTACAGTTGTGTCAGATGTGCTTCAGATTACCAGTATGCAATTTCATGACTCTCAGATGTCATTATTTGGGAGAAGGGAAGGAGCTGGAAATTAAAATGTACGTGAATTACCTAATCATGCCTTAACTAATTTCCACAATAGCTCATGTGATACATTTGCATTGTTTTACAAATGAGATACCTAAGGGTCAGAGACAAATAACTTCTTTTTTTTTTGGACAAATAACTTGTTAAGAAGTTAGCAAATTGGAATTTGAACATACATCTGGGTCTAAAAATTTTGTTTTCATGATTCTAAGCTAGCTTCAAAAGACCATGTTTAAGAGGTAGATTTTATTTTATCTGTTAATTTGAAAGAATTTCTACTTTAAATATAAACACAGAATCTCATGATCATGAAATTTATCAAAGAAAAATAAATTTCACTGAATCTATGAACTGTAATACTTTTATTTTAGACTTGGCCTTGAGAGAGCTGATACAGCTGAAAAAGCCCTCAATGTTATTGTTGATTTATTAGAAAAACACGGCCAGGGTGGCAACTGCACAGAGGGTGTGATGGAATTCAGCTATCACAACAGTTTCCTGATAGCTGATAGGACTGAAGCTTGGATTCTGGAGACTGCAGGGAGGCACTGGGCAGCAGAGAAAGTACAAGGTATGGAAAGCTTTTCATGATGTGGTTTGTTTTACAGTGAACAAAATACACCCTTAACTGTGATTATTGCATCTAGTTATCTTCTAAAATTTATAAACCAGTGCCATGAAGGATTGAATTGTAGTGAAAGAGCACTATAAAGAGCTTTCAAAGGTTAAAAAAAAAAAGAGGTGTTATCTCTGGGGATAGCAGTTTCATGTTATTGGTATATACTACTTGTACAATAATCTTTTGGCTGCTTTAAAGTGTGCTTTTTTTTTTTTTTTTTTTTTTACTTTTTATTAACTCATTACTATTTCTTCTAACATTGTGCTAAACCCTAGTATCATTATGTGAAACCCAAACAGAGCAGTTTGATGTTTTTAGATAATTTTGCTTTTCCTTTCCTGTGTTTTTGATGATGTGAAAATAATTCTAAAAGTTAATGGACAGTGCACACTATCTTTTTTACTTTTTAAATTTTGAATGGTGGAGAGGAAAAAAAAATGGGACAGACACAGAGAGATACTTCATCCAATGGTTCTCTCCCCAAATGCCCACATCAGCCAGGGCTGGGCCAGGCCAAAGCAGGAAGACTGGAACTCAATTCAGGTCTCCCACACAGGTTGCAGGGTCCCAAATACTGAATCATTAGCTACTTTTTCCCCATGGTACACATTAGCAGAAAGCTAAACTGGAAATGAAGCCGGGACTCTCAAACCCAGTCACATATGGAAGCCAGCACCCAATACCTAGCCATACATTTTTTAAAATTGTACTTTTGCATGAACTTTTTGAAGTATCTTGTTTTTCAAGTGAGGAAATTCAAGGTGGCAGATTAAAGTCTTGAAATTTTAATCTGTCTCTCCTGGTACTCAGTTTAATGTTCTCTCAGCAGAGCATTGTTCAAAGCAGTCATGTGCTCCTTGTGTGCTTGACTTCTGAATCTCCCAAGTTTACTAAGGAGATAAGATATATGTGTGAAAATGTTAAATAAGGCATGAATGGTACATAGATGCTGTGAATATTTTGAGAAGGGAAAGGTCACTATGAGCCAGAGGAGTCCTGAGGGGCTTTGTGAAGGTCACCTTGAGGATTTGGACATGGTTTACCAGAAGCATACATTGCCACTTTTTTTAAATAAATGGTTTTGTTTGTTTCATTAATTAATTTTTTAATTGGAAAGTCAGATTTACAAGCAGAAGGAGAAAGAGAGAAAAAGACCTTCAATTCACTGGCTTACTCCCCAAGTGTCCACAACAGCCAGAGTTGAGCTGATCCAAAGCCAGGAGCCAGGAGCTTCTTCTTGGTCTCCCATGTGAGTTCAGGGTCCCAAGGCTTTCGGCTGTCCTCTACTGCTTTTCCCAGGCCACGAGCAGGGAGGTGGATGGGAAGTAGAGCAGCTGTTATACAAACCAGCACCCATATGGGATCCTGGAGCAAGCAAGGTGAGGATTTAACCACTAGGTTACTGCTCTGGACCTGCCACTTATTTTGGAAGACATTTTGTTTGATATTTTGCTTTATATGTTTTGTATTTTGTTTCATATATTTGGTGTTTAATAATAGAGAAGATTGAACTTAGACCACTTTTCTTAATGTGATAATTGGCTTGCTTGAGCCATCAAAAACTTTTTTTTTTTTTTTTTAAAGATTTATTTTTATTTTTTCATTGGAAAGGTGGATATACAGAGAGGAGAGACAGAGAGGAAGATCTTCCGTCCGATGATTCACTCCCCAAGTGAGCGCAACGGTCGATGCCATGCCGATCCGAAGCCAGGAGCCTCTTCCGGGTCTCCCACGTGGGTGCAGGGTCCCAAAGCCTTGGGCCGTCCTCGACTGCTTTCCCAGGCCACAAGCAGGGAGCTGGAAGGGAAGCGGGGCTGCCAGGATTAGAACCGGCGCCCATATGGGATCCCGGGCGTGCAAGGCGAGGACCTTAACCACTGCGCCACCGCGCCGGGCCCTCAAAAACTTTTAAAATTATTTTTTGTTATTTATTTGAAAGCCAGAGCTATACAGAGAGAGGAAGAAAGAGAAGAGAGAGCAAGCTTCCATCCACTGGTTTGTTCTCCCAGTGACTGCAATGGCCAGGGTTGGGGCCGGGCTGAAGCTAGGAGTGTCTGGAGCACACCTGGGTGCAGGAACCCAAGCACTTGGGCTGTGTTCTGCTGCTTTCCCAGGCTCATTAGCAAGGAGCTCGATTGGAAGCAGAGCAGCCAGATCTCTAACCAGCATCACAGGCGGCAGCTATACCTGTTACACCCCAGTGCTGGCTCCATTTCTTTTGTTATTAAATGTGTTAAATCAATGAGAGAAATTAATGAACAGATTCTGTTGACTGAGCTCGGTGCTGCATGGGATGCTCTTGTCATATATCCGAGTATGAGTCTGTTCAGGTCCCAGGTGCCCTGCTTCCTGTCCAGCCTCCTGCTAGTCTTCCTGGAAGGCAGCAAGTGGTTACCCAAGTAGTTGGGTTCCCGATGCCCATATGGGAGATCTGGTTGGAATTCTTGCTTCTTGGCTTTATCCTGTCTACTATGGACATTTCTGGAGTGAATCAGTGAAAGATACCTATTGTCCCTCTTCTCTTACCCTCCTTCTCTGTATTATTCTGTCTATCCAGATAAATAAATCAATCTTTAAAAAAGAGAGGAAAAAAGTTACCTTGCCATCCAAAATAAATAGCTTCATTGGTCTGATTATCTGTTTATAGACTATCTTTGCCAGCTAGTTTCTCTTTATGTTACAAAGTGAGACCAATAACAAAATCATTAAAGTGTAGGGAGTCATCTATTATATAGACAAGTCCTCTTCTCTGACTTTGAGGACATGATTAACTCTAATTTTTTAAAAAGATTTATTTGTTTATTTATTGGAAAGTTAGATATACAGAGAGGAGAGACAGAGAGGAAGATCTTCTATCCGATGATTCACTCCCCAAGTGACCACAACGGCCGATGCTATGCTGATCCGAAGCCAGAATCCAGGAACCTCTTCCAGGTCTCCCACACGGGCGCAGGGTCCCAAAGCTTTGGGCCGTCCTCGACTGCCCTCCAGGGCCACAAGCAGGAGCTGGATGGGAAGTGGAGCTGCCGGGGTTAGAACCGGCACCCATACGGGATTCTGGCGGGTTCAAGGCGAGGACTTTAGCCGCTAGGCCACGCCGCCGGGCCCAACTCTAATTTTTTAAAAAGATTTATTTATTTGTAAGTCAGAGGGACTTTCTGGTCTACTCTTCAAATGAATGGAATGGACAGTACTATGCCAGGTCAAGGTCAGGAGTCAGGAGCTTCTTTTTATTTAAAGGTTTACTTATTTTTATTGGAAAGGGAGACATACAGGAAGGAGGAGAGACAGAGAGGAAGATCTTCCGTCTGATGATTCACTCCCCAGGCAGCCACAGTGGCTGGAGCTGAGCCAATCTGAAGCCAGGAGCCCAGAGCCCGGAGCCTTTTCCTCCAGGTCTCCCACACGGGTGCAGGGTCCCATAGCTTTGGGCCGTCCTCGACTGCTTTCCCGGGCCACAAGCAGGGAGCTGGATGGGAAGTGGGGCTGCCAGGATTAGAACCGGCGCCCATATGGGATCCCAGCGCTTTCAAGGCGAGGACTTTAGCTATTAAGCTATCATGTTGGGCCCAGAAGTCAGGAGCTTCTTACAGAACTCCCACATGGGTAGCAGGAGCCCAAACACTAGGACCATCTTTTGCTGATTTTCTCAGCCATTAGCAGGTAGCCTATTTGGAAGTAAAGCAACCAGGAAATGTATCAGTACCTGCATGGAAATGTGGCACTGCAGATAGCAGCTTTATATGCTACACTACAATACCGTCCCCTCAAATGTGGGTTTTGTAATGAGAACATCCCAAGAACAACTTTGTTAGAAGAATCAATTTTCGCTAGGCAGACTGTCATTCTACACCAGTTATAATTTTTTATTATTTATGCCATGTGTTATTATCTCTTTAAAATGATTTTTTCTATCTAGTATTTTGCACAACAATATTCTTGGAATTTATATTTCTGTTCTAAAGTTACTTATTTTGATTTTAGGAAACCAACTCCTAGGAAAGGGTGATATATATCTAGAATATGAGAGGAACAAAACTCAACAGTAAGCAATCTAGTTGGAAAATCAGTGAAAGATATGAAGAGAAATGTCACCTAAGGAGAGGTGCACATGTGAAACAAGCACATGAAATGATGTTCAGCATCATTTACTGAAAGAGAAATAAAAACAAAACCTACAGTGAAATGATTCCTATATTTCAATTGGAATTGTTCAAATGAAAAATAATGATAGCACTACAGAGACGGAGGGTAGGTGTGCAGCACAGTGCTTCTTGGAATGCCTGCATCCTATATGTGAGTGCCTGGGTTCAAATTCTAGCACCAATTCGTTTCTTGCTAATGCAAACCTTTGGAAGTATCAAGTGCTAGCACAAATACTTAAATTCCCGCCACCCACATGGAGACTCAAATTGAGTTCCCACATCCTGGCCTTATATGACACAGACCCAATTGGTTACCAGCATTTGGGGAGTTACTGTGTATGGATCTTTTTCTTTCTCTGTATCTCTGCTCTTCAAATAAAATAATGTTTTAAAAAGATTTTTTCTAACGATTTATTTATTTTTATTGTAAAGTCAGATATACAGAGAGGAGAAGAAACAGAGAGGAAGATCTTACGTCTGTTGATCCACACCCCAAGTGACCACAACAGCCGGTGCTGAGCCGATCCAAAGCCAGGAGCCAGAAACTAGGAATTTCTAGCTGTGGGCCATCCTTTACTGCTTTCACAGGCCACAAGCAGGGAGCTGGATGGGAAGTGGAGCTGCCGAGATTGAAACAAGTACCCATGTGGGATCCCGGTGCATTCAAGGCAAGGACTTTAGCCACTAGGCCATTGCATTGCGCCCTTAAAAAGATTTTTAAAAATTTTGTTAGGCCCAGCGGCATGGCTTAGTGGCTAGTCCTTGCCTTGAACGCCCCGGGATCCCATATGGGCACCCGTTCTAATCCCGGCAGCCCCACTTCCCATCCAGCTCCCTGCTTGTGGCCTGGGAAAGCAGTCAAGGATGGCCCAATGCTTTGGGACCTTGCACTCATGTGGGAGACCCCGAGGAGGTTCCTGGTTCCCGGCTTCGGATTGGCTCAGCACTGGCCATGGTGGTTACTTGGGGAGTGAATCATCGGACGGAAGATCTTCCTCTCTGTCTCTCCTGCTCTCTGTATATCTGAATTTGTAATAAAAAATAAATAAATCTTTAAAAAAATGTTTTGTTAGAAATTCAGAATTACAGAGAGGAGAGATACATAACTTCTGTCTGCTGTTTCATTCTCCAAGTGACCACAATGGCTGGAGATGAGCTGATCAGAAGCCAGGAGGCAGGGGCTTCTTCCAGGTCTCTCACATGGGTGCAGGATCCCAAGGCTTCAGCCTGTCCTCCACACTTTTCCAGGCCACAGACAGGGACCTGGAAGGAAATTGGAGCAGCCAGGAAAGAAACCTCGTGTCTTCATGGAATCCTGGTGCTTGGAGGTGAAGGATTAGTCATTGAGCCATCATGCTGGCCCCAACAGTTACTTAAGAAACCAAATGGTCAGTTACCCTATGATACTTCAATTGCAGTCTGCACATTTATTCCAGAGAAATAAAACTTACATTCATTTATAGAACCTATCCACAAATATTTATAGCAGTTTTTCCATGATGGCCCAAACTGAAAACAATTAGAAGTTTCACTTCTGAGTGATTAAGCAAACTGCACTCCATTCACACCATGGCATCCTGCTTAGCAATAAAAAGTAATAAAGTGTTGATACTTATGTAGCCTGCATTAATATTAAGAGAATCATGCTGAGTAAAAAAGTCAAAAGTTTATACTGTATGACCCCATTTACTTAACATTCTTGAAATAACAGAGAAATGGAGAATAGACTGATGGCTGCCTGGGTTAGTGAGTGATTGTGGGTTGTTTGACATAAATGGACAACACAAAGGCTCTTTATGGTTTTGAAGTATGATTTTTCGTGGTTGTATCAATGCCAGTATTCTGATTTAGATATTACAGTTTGCTATTGTTACTATTGGAGAAAACTGGGCAGAGGTAAGTCCACAATTATCTAAACAGTTTTAATTTAAAAAAGTAATTCAGGTATCGTTTTGAATAGACGCAGATGCACATTGCACAAATTTGTAAGTCTAATTTACATTAAATAATAATTTAGAATGAGTATGTATAGATACTTTCTGTTAAATCTAACTTTGCTTCTCTTTTCCCTCCTTTTCTTTGAAAATAGAGGGAGTTCGTAATATTTCTAATCAGCTCTCTATAACAACCAAGATTGATCAGGAACACCCGGACATGAAAAACTATGCGAAGCAGCAAGGCTGGTGGGATGGCAAGAAAGAGTTTGATTTTGCTGCCACGTACTCTTATCTCGACACAGCCAAGATGAATGCTTCGTCAGGCAGATACTGTGAAGGCTACAAGCTGCTGAATAAACACAAAGGTAACGTTAGCATTTAGATACTATAGGAATGATAATTTATGTTTTGTGTAGAGATACTGTAGGAGTGATCAAATCTGCTTTGAGAAAATATATTTAATAAAATATGGCTTTTATTCAAACTGAAAACATGATGATATTGCAAGTTATTTTTGAGGTGACTGACCTATTACACAATTGTGAGAGGGTAATGATTCTTTTTGACAGTAAAGTTTAAATTCTCAGATTATTTTTTAGAGATTTATTTATTTAAATGTCAGTGTCAGAGGAGGAGAAAGAGCTCTTCCATCTGCTGGTTTACTCCTCAGACGACTGCAACAGGTGAGACTGAGCAAGGCCAAAAGCAAGAGCCAGAAGCTTCTTTCAGATCTTCTGTTTGGCTACAGGGGCCCAAGCATGTGGCCTATCGTTTGCTGCCTTTCCCAGGCCCTTACCAGGGAGCTGGACAGGAAATGGAACAGCCGGGACATGAAACAGTCCGCAAATGGGATGCCTAAGCTGCTTTCAGCAGCTTAACTCCCTAAGTCAAAACACATTAGTGGATCTCAAATTAATTTTTTAAGTTCCTGTAAATATATCTAAAACATAATTCAATTACTTTCCCTCTCAGAATTCATCAAAACATAGAAAAAGTCCTCTTTAATTGCTGTGTTGCTTTTATCCTTTTACTTTCAGATAGTACTCTTATTGGTTAAATTCTGACAAAAGTCATTATCTAGAACTTCTAGCTAAAAGGACAAATGGATAAGATACAAGAATTTCTTCTTTCTACTTCAAAATCAATCTTGTGCTACTTTCTTAAGAGAATCGGCAGGGAACTGGATGGGAAGTGGAGCAGCCAGGACTTGAACTGGTCCCCATTTGCAATGCAGACATGACAGGAGGTAGCTTAATTTGCTATAGTACAACCATAGACTACAATAGATTTTTAAATCTGTGCAGGTTTTTTTTTATAAGGTTAATTAACATGGCTAAGTTCAAATACAGTAAGAGGAAATCACGATACTAAAAATGAGGAGAAGACCATAGTGTCAGCAAGACTTGAGGTGTCTTCATCCTACAGAATCTTTCTCATCTTGTTGGACAGTTGAAAGGGGGGATGATTCGGGACCAGATACAAGGCTCAGGTGCTAGAGTTTCAGTATCTTTGAGATACACAGGTGAAAGACTCATTTGGTGAGCATGAGCTGGACTCCTCCCCAAGACTACAAATCTGAAAAATGTGATTCTGTTCCATGCCTGAAGTCCAGACCTGCAGTGTGCTACCTGTTGCCCTTGGCTACAGGTAATAGTCTCTTGGAAACCACAGAAGATCCCAGCACATCCCAGGTGTGTTTCTACACCTACCACGTAATTATTTTATTTGAAAAAAAAAGGAATAGAGGATTCATCATATGACCAAAATTCAAGTTTTTTCCACCTTACATAGTTTTCCTCAGCTGTGCACTGAGGCCTCAGTACTCCAACTGTTGAATACTTGAAAGATTCCCAGCTGTATGTTAATTTTATGAACTTTTTTTTTTTAAAGATTTATTTATTTTTTATTACAAATTCAGATATACAGAGAGGAGGAGAGACAGAGAGGAAGATCTTCAGTCTACTGGTTCACTCCCCAAATAGCCACAATGGCTGGAGCTGAGGTAATCCAAAACCAGGAGCCAGGAACTTCTTCCTGGTCTCCCATGTGGATTCATGGAACCAGTTCTTTGGGCCATCATCTACTGCTTTCCCAGGCCACAAGCAGGCAGCTGGAAGGGAAGTGGAGCAGCTAGTACACAAGCTGGCACCCTCATGGGATCCTGAAGCATGCAAGGTGAGAATTTTAGCCACTAAGGCATTGTGCCAGGCCCAGATATGTATGTTTTAAAATCTGCCCAAATGGGGACTGCCATTGTATCATAGCGGGTAACACTGCTTGCTTTGAAACACCAGTATTCCAAATAGATGTTGGTTCATGTCCTGTTTGTTCCACTTCCTGCACATGGGCTGGGAAAGCAACAAAAGTTGGTCCAAGTGCTTGGGCCTGTGTATCTCTGTGGAATACCCAGAGGGAGTATGGTTTTGTTTTTGGGTCCTGTGGTTTTGTTGTCGTTTTAAGATTTATTTTTATTGGGAAGAGAGAAGAAGATGCATAGAGAAAGATCTTCCATCCACTGGTTCATTCCCCAAGTGGCCGCAAAAGGCTCAGAGCTGGGTTGATCCAAAACTAGCAGCCAGGAGCTTTTTCTGGGTCTCCCACCCAGGTGCTGAGTCCCAAGGCTTTGGGCGGTCCTTCACTGCTTTTCCAGGCCACAGGCAGGAAGCTGGATGGGAAGCAGAGCAGCCAGGACATGAACCAGCACCCATATGTGATCCTGGTGCATGCAAGGTGAGGATTTAGCCACTAGCTACTGTGCCAGGCCCATGGCTCCTGGTTTTGACCTAGCCCAGCTTTGGCTGTTGTTGCCATCTAGGGAGTGAGCTAATGATAGATTTTTCTTTCATCCTTTCTTTCTCTGTCCTCTGTGTGTGTGTGTATCTGTAACCTTTAAAATAAATACATTTTTAAAGTGAAATGTAAATGTTTAAATGGAATGAAAATGAAAACCAACCTATCAAAATTTGTGGAATGTTGTGAAATTAGTGCTTACACTTTTTTTGTAGCATTAGATGCTTATGTTAGACAGTAGGAAGATGCAAATCAGAGATGTGAATTTTGAGAGTGGACATTGTAGTACTATGGTACAATGGGTTGTCAGCTACGTGAGATGCCTGCATGCCATCTCTGAATGCTAGCTTCCAGTTAGTGCATCTAGGAGGTGGCAGATGGTGGTTCACCATCATGGGAGATCTGGATGGAATTCCCGTTCCTGGCTTCAGCCTGGCCTAGCCCTGCTGTGTGTATTTGGGGAATGAATCAGTGGATGGAAAATTTTTCTCTATATATGTCTGTCTGCCTTTAAGTTAGATGAAAATAAATAAATATTTTGGTAATAAACACATTTTCACCTTAAGAAACTAAGAAAGTACAAAATAAATCCTAATAAAGAATATCAATAAAGGAAAGAAATCCATAAAATGAAAAGCAAAGAGAATCCATTGAGCCTAAAGCTGATTCTTTGGAAGAGAGCATTATAAAAAACTCTGGGGGCCCGGTGCGGTGGCGCAAGTAGTTGAGGTCCTCGCCTTGCATGCCCGGGATCCCATATAGGTGCCAGTTCTATCCCGGCAGCCCTGCTTCCCATCCAGCTCCCTGCCTGTGGCCCAGGAGAGCAGTCGAGGACAGCCCAAGGCTTTGGGACCCTGCACCCACATGGGAGACCCGGAAGAGTCTCCTGGCTTTGGATTGGCATAGCATCGGCCGTTGCGCTCACTTGGGGAGTGAATCATCAGACGGAAGGATCTTCCTCTCTGTCTCTCCTCTCTGTATATCTGCCTTTCCAATAAAAAAATAATAATAAAAATAAATCTTAAAAAAAAAACTCTGGACAGACTGACCAAAAAAAGAAGATATGGATAGCTTGTATCAGGAATAAAAAGAGATATTGTACACCCTACAGGTATTAAGAAGACAGTAAGAGAATACTTCATACAGCTTTATGCTCATAATTCAATAACTTAAAGGAAATGAACTGATTCATTAAAAGCTATAAACTTCCAAAACTAACAAGAAATTGATGAATTCTGAAAGACACTTTCATTGATTGTATTCAACCTGCAGATTCTCAGCTCAGCAGCTCAAATTTCAGTTGCCTTCTTGTATCCTTAGCTAAGCTACTTGCAGTCAGCCCCACACACAGTTATTCAGGAATCAAGTGCGGATTTGAGCTTTTTTGTTTGTTTCTTTCTCTCTCAGCATGGTGGTCATGGTAGTGTATGTTATTTATAAGGCACAGAGGAAGACAGACAGAAACACATAGGCATCTCCAAGATATCTGCTGGTTTACTCCTCAAATGCCCCCTAACAGCCAAGTCTGGGCCAGGCCTCAGCTGAGGAGACAAGAACTCATTCTGTGTCTCTTCTTGCAGGTGGTAGGGGTCTGTCTTCTTGTTTTTACATGTGGACTGGCATCTGTAAAGGGCTCTACTAAGGCCATGCCAAGGATTTCAAAGTTAAGATTGTTAAAGTAGATAAGATGCAGTGGTTGCAGCAACCTGCTTGTTACATGTTTATGCAGGGTCCTCTGCTTGTGTTGTCCTGTTATATCCCCATTTTATGGTTGACATAAGCCATGTTTGTGCTCTTCATTTATCTCCTGTGAAACTTGAAGAAAGAAAAATATATATATACCCCTTGGCACCCATTGCAGGGTCTTGTACTAGTTGTTGTATATACTTGATAAGTGCTGAATAAATCAACAAAGGTTATTAGGTGCATTGAATTAAATTATAATTTATTGGCAGTTTAACAAAGTTCACTATTGTTTACTTCCCCCCTCCCCCTCCCGGCAATAAGCTAAGAGGCTCAGGGTGTAAAAATAACAGATATTCTTTGAAAATAAAGACCCAAGACAAGAATTTGGCACAGAGGTGAGATTGGGCATGGCACACCCATGTCACATATCAGAGGGCCTGCGTGCAAGTCCCTGCTTCACGTCCAGCTCCACCTTCCTCTCAGGGTGCACCCTGGGAGGCAGCAGGTGATGGATCAAGTAGTTGGGGCCCTGCTACCTGTGTGGAAGAGCCAGACTGAACTGTGGGCTCCTGGTTTCAGCCTGGCTGAGCCCTGGCTGTTGCAGGCATTTGGCAGAGTAGCCCAGAGATTAGAAGCTCTGTGTCTATCTCTCTGCCTTTCAAATAAACAAAAATAATCATCTTTTTATGATGACAAGAAACGGTGGATGCATAAATAGAAATAAAGTGTTAAGAATTTAAAGGTTTAGAATAATTGGACTAAAGGAAGTAAAACAGGAACAATTATAAATTAATTAGCCTCTGCCTCTTAATCATTAATTCTGTCATTTTGACCATGGAACCATAGATCTGACATGCATATGTGATTGTAGTAACGAATGCATCTGACA